AATCACCGTTCTTACGCGTAGAGTGCGCTTGAAAAGTAGTGGTTTTGACAAACGTCGGTATTTCAGATCGTGCGACAAAAAGTTTCGTAAGATGATTAGTTGAGGTTAGGTTACTCTCTATCCTATGTACCTCGTCTGTAGTGATATCTAGAAGAAGGAACAGATCTCTGCTCGCCTATGAAACACAGGCAGATCAATTTCACCGAACAAAGGAATTTCAACGAGTTATAAATTTTACGTTTTCTTCGATTAAACTCGGCAAGAATGCTAAGCGACGAGAACGAATGGAACCGCGCACGATTGTCACGTGGGCACAGGCAACAGGAGTTTTTATCATGCTCGCTAGGCTCATCGTGAATTGTGCCGCACTTATAGCGAATTCGTAGGCGTTAAATAATGTTTCCTTAGTCAATTTACTGTTAGTGCCTGTTCGATATAACCTGCGCTGGCCAGCACGAACTGCATATTTACGAGCGGGCTGTAAAGCTTCGCTTAGGCGTGTGCGTTGCACTATTTGCTACGATAAATTGGAGCAGGCCAATTTGTCTCGAGCTGTAAGTTCCGCGGAATGATCATCCTTATTGTGAACGATAACGATCGTTCGTTGAAATAATTTACAATATCGGTGTAGGGGCAAGCAGTATTAAGGCAATATGTAGAGAATCGTTTTTTCGTTTCATGACACACGCCTGAAGGGATGTGTTCATTGTTTCGAGGAAACGTTTCAGATCTTACGGTGTGTACATTTAGTACGAGTTATTGAAGCTAATAGGGAAACTTTTGTGTTAGGCAACTCGCTTGAATTTTTCTTGTGTTGTTTCTTATATGAAGAGAATTAAATTTATTATTAACAAGTTAGTAATAAATCAATTCGATTTGTTTGTTATTCGAACTAATATCAATCGATCCAAAAATTTCTATTTGTCAAGTGAAATAAAATTTATCGTACAATTTATTTCAAACATTTCAATGCACATTCACAATAAGCGTGAATCCAACGTACTAAATTTAATTCTAGATCCCGCTGTTACCACACGACATCACGGAGAAAACCCTATTGCATAACGAACCATCTCATCTTACAACAAGGCGATCTTTCGAAACATTCTACTTCTCATTAATGAACTGCGTCTTACATTCCATTTGCACGTATACATCAATGTTGATTCTAGGTGGAAAGGTCAGTGCAGACCCACCGCTATCCTTCGATTATTTAAACAACTGGAAATAGTGATTCATTCAGTGATCGTTCGCTACGTGGGCCGAGGCGATCGACGGCAATAGTAAAAGTGTCGCAATCAGCGTAGCACATTTTTTCCCGGTGAATCAACGATCTCCACGCTGTGACGTCCATAAAAACAAAATTCGTAACAGGTTTCTTTTTCTTTTATTTTTTTTTGCGCGCGCTTGACGTCATGTCCGTTACAACCTCCTTTCGTTGTGGCTGATCAGCAGCAATCGACAGGTTAATCCGTTAGGCGTCGCTTCAATAACGCTGCTGTGTTGCAATTGTCGAGTAACAGGCGGACATGCTAACCACTATGCCCACTTGCGACGTTTTCATTAGATCGTCCTGAGAGGCCGAGGACAAACGAGATCTGTTTCGATTGAAACGCTACCGATATACAGGGTGGGTCAATAAAACAGACCACCTAATTATCTTCTGCAGCTATGGTGGTACGAGAAAATTTTCATACGTGATTTAAATGCTTCCAAAAGGTAAGTAAGATAGAAGTCAAATATTTTTATAAGAAAATTTGCCATTTTTTTTTTTTTTTTCAAAGTCATATATTTTTTACACGAATGTATGTATTTTTTTTCTAGTGTATGTTGCAGCAGACATTAATGTGCATTTAAACATGCATTATAATATGACCTTGGACTCTAAAATTTCTAATCAAGTGTGAAACTTTCGTTTTTCGCCATTTATTCCATCTTATGAAGCCTTTGAAATAGCTAGAGAAGATAATTAGGTGGCCTGTTCTACGTGGCCTACCCTGTATAAGACAGTCAGTGAAAAAAGTCTCTGTGCAGTTGATTGAATAAATAATATTTACGTTACCTTATATAGAAACATAAAGAAAAATGATTTACATTAATTTGTTAGCAACAAAACTAAGGAAAAAGGGCAATCTAACCGAAGAGAAATTAAAAAAGTATCTATACAGTGTCCAAAAATTAAGAAGCAGATATAAGTTAGTTTCTTGTTTGCAAGCAAGTAGAAAATACATTATTTATACCTATACTTATTTGTTCAACTATTAACAAATCAACGTAAATCATTTTTCTTCACGTTTACAAACAAATTAACGTAAATACTATTTATTTACCCTTTCACTGTTGAAATTACACAACGCCAAATAAATCTCTTCAACCGACTCTACACACTGAGTGACTCGCGTTAATCCTTTGTTTTACGATTTTTTAAATGGCTCCTCAGAGTTAGCTATTCACTGCTTTCACACTGCGTTAGCTGACGTCACGTTGAAGTATTACAAACCATTTGTAACACCGATCATTTTTCACTTTTGTAAATCAAAACTACAGTTACCGGGCGAAATTACACTTTACTGCAAGAGGGGAAAAAATAAAAAAAAAAAAAAAAAAGAGGAAGATAGATTCTTCTTTTTTTTCAAACCTATCGATTTTTCCTGTCGCGAAAACCAGACGTCGTTAGGATGTAACAGCGGTTCGGACAGCCAATCACCCTGGATCTTAAACTTTTCCTGCTTTATTCCCACCCGTTCGAACTAATAGGTTCACGTTACTTCGCTTTATTGCCTCGTAATTTCCGTTGCAAATGTCAGAAAACCAATATAGAGGGCCTCTCCGCGAGAAGATATCTGCCACGAAGAGGTCGACACCGGCCACGGTCTCTAGGGCCCGTTTTGCAACTTATTGCCACAAAGTGGTTTACGATTCAAAAGGAAAAGAGGACGGGCTCTCTGATAGCGAGCAACCGGGTTCTCTCGCCGCGGAGCATTAGCGTCCTCCTTGAAACGTTGTCGACGGGTTCGCGGAGCGCAACGTATAACCTGTTTCAGTGATCTAAGCTGGTTATCACAACCGTTCCCGTTTGCTTTGCCAGGCATAATTTACGTTTTCCTGAAAATGTCTACCGGATACCGGGCCCATTAAAACCTAACTGCTGGTTGTCGGCGATTATGGTTCACTGTCAATTATAAAGTAACCCTGCTGTTTTTTTTTTTTTTTCGTTCACCTTTCCGACTGTTCCTTTTGTTGCCGCCGTTTCTTTTCTTCGATTGTTTGCTATCGAACTGGTTTCGCGTTTTTGCGGCGAGGATACAATTGGTTTGGAGAAATGACGTGAGATGATCTTGCTTCAGTTTTTAAAGGGGTGAACCAACCCTGGGGTGTCTGGGAATAGGTGAAGTTTGAGAATTTTTTCGTAGGTAATTAGTAAATGAAAAGTTTGAATTTTTTTGGGGGATGTCAATGCAACTTTCAGCTTTTTTCTCGAATTTTTGAAAAGTAAAAATGTTGCAAAATGGAGGAGTTATCGGGAAACATCTTCTGCTGGTCGCCATCGCTGGCGGGGATTGAAACGTCTGAGATAAGAATTTCTGCTTGATACATTAATTAAAATGTATTGCCTACAATGTTGCTCACGATTTTTTCGATATCTCAATTTTTGAATTTTTTGGAAACGTTTAAAGTTGATTTTTTTTTTAGTTAAAAGAGGTTTGCCCTATTCA